GGGTGTGTGGTGGGGCAGGGACAAGATACCCTAGCACCATGATGCTAGAAGGGCACCCAGTCAGTTTCCACCCATGGGTGTGAAGGAATAAGTAAAAGGACAGTGGTTTGTGCACTTTTTCCCACAGGAGAAAGCCTGGAGTCCAACTTTCTCTTTGTGGACACCCAGAGTAAGTGGTGTGGTCAGTCTGAGACACCAAAATTTGTGCCTGATAGAAAAAAAAAAAAAAAAAGCCATCCCTGATGTCTATAATATAGTAAAAAAAATAAAAATAAAAATAAAAATAAAAAGCAGAACTCAAACGTTTAAGAAATATTTACAGTGAAAGAAAAACCTTGAAATTGGCAAAGTTTGGTGGACCAGTTTTAAAATTAATCTCCTTGTCTATGTATTTGCTTTACTTTGCCAGTCAGAAAAGTAGTTTTGTTATTCCTCTTTGGTGTGAAAAGCAGTGATTGTGTTAGAAAGAGCAGGAGTTTCAGAGTCAGGCAGACCAGACCTGCTTTAAATCCCTTGCCCTGTCATTTTACATCTGTATGATACTGGAGAATGATGATATCCTTACCCTGTGGATACGCAAGAAGTTCCTTAACCCTCTGAAAAGCAGAACTGACTCAGGGAGGAGGACTGCCTGGTTTCTGGGTGGATGTCCTGATCCTAGAGGGAGGCCAGGGGACAGCAATGGCTGTACCTCGCAGATGAGCACTGGCTGGAGGGCTCTGGTCCAAGAGACAGAGACAGCAGCAGATGCTGTGATGGCCCCGGTAATCTCAGCTACCCATGGATGCCCACAGGTGTCCAGGTGGAGTGACCTGACTCACAGCCAAGCCCATGGGATGGGAAGGCTGGAGCTTCTGCTCTTCGTCTTGCCATGAAAAGCACAGCAGGAGCTCCCTGGCACGTAGTCCACAGATGGGCTCCTCACCCGAGTGAGAATTAAGCTCATCAAGCATCCCTTCTTGCCAGGAGTTGTGACCTTGTTTTCCTCCTCGATCCTTGCAGCAGGACTGAGTGGCAGGTATTACTAGCTTCCTGGAAGATTAGCTGCTTCATCTAAATGACTTGTCTGAGAGGGCTCAGAGCATTGAGATGAAGGTGGAGCTGGAATTCAAGTCTGTCTTGACTCCCAGTTCAGTGCTCCTTCCTTTATTCCCTCGGCTGTGGGAAATGGAGAAGGCACCAGTAAGGGAGTCAGGGCTAATGTCAACCCAGGTGAGCTGGTTAACCTGTGGTTGCACCACAAAGGGGATGAACTCTCAGACCCAAATTAGCACTGGGGATAAACGTGGCAAACGGCAGTTTCACTGTAGGATAGACGAATTGGAGGTTTGTGCTGAACAAACCTTGTGCCTAAACAGCACAGCAGGTGTATTAGTGTCCTGGGCTGTCTAACAAATTATCACCACCTGCATGGCTTAAAACACTGGGAATCTAGTCACTGACAGTTCTGGGAGCCAGAAATTCAAAATTAAGGGGTCAGCAGGG